GGCTCCAGCGGGGACCCGGGCAGGGCACAGGCTGGATGGGTGCAAGGAGGCAGAGCCCTGTAGCGGGACCGGGCAGGGACAAAGCTGTCTCTCCCATGGAAGTGGCTGCAGGAGCCCCCGAGCCCGGGGCTGGCCGCGGGGCAGCGGCGGTGCATGTGACCCGGGGGCGGCGCGGCGCGGGCGTGCAGGGGGCCAGGGCTGGCACAGCCGAGCCACAGCGGCGGCCGGTCTCCCGAGGGGCTCCCCGGGGCTCCAGGCTGGGCAACGGGCGGGAGCCAGGGCTTTTCCCGGCCCCGCAGAGCCTCCCGCCCCCCAGCCCACCGTGGGCACATGCGGCGCGTCCCGCCGCCGGCAGGGAGCCCCGCGCCTCTCCCGCTCGGCTGCGCTCCAGCGGCTCCTTCCCGGCGGGGCGAGCAGCTGGAGCGCAGCCGAGCAGGAGAGGCGTGGGGCTCCCTGGCAGCAGCGGGGAAGTTTATGGGTTATGGGGACCCCGGCTGGCCCCTCACCCCTGTCCGCCGGCCGCCCCGCCTGGGACAAGTCTCACCCCCGCAGCCCCTCTCTGCCGCGTGTCTCCGGCGGCCCACGCCCCCGGTCCGCGCTGCCCACCCAGGCCAGAGCCAGCCCCGGCTGCTGCCTGCACGCAGCCCGGGCCATGCCCAGCTAGCCCCTGGCAGCTGCGGCAACTTTCCCTTCCCCTCCCACGCTCCTGGTAGATGCCCGACCCTCCTCCCTCCATCCCCCCTCCACACATCCCTCCTCCTAACCTCCTCCCTCCATGGAGGGATCCAATGGAGGAAGGAGGGGGCGGAGTCGGGGTGGGGGGGGTGTGAGCGCCGGAGCGGAGGGCAAAATTGCTTTTTTGTCCAGTGTCCCGAGCGAACATCGGTCGGGACGTGGGACAAAGAAGGAAATATCGGGACAGTCCCGATAAAATCGGGACAGTCCCGATAAAATCGGGACGTCTGGTCACCCTAGCTTGCCCTGTGGGGTCATCCGGTTATCTCTGTGCTACGCATTCTTCGGCCATGGGATATCACAGTTATAACTCTTAGGCTGGCACCTTTGATTTGCTAATTATTTATTTGCATCACATGCATTCATTCACATTCATTCTGTATCTTTAAGTCACATCTTGCACTTATGTTTTACTACCTCCTCTTCCTGACATTCTTATTTTACAATTCTGTTCTCCAGATGTGACAGACTTCCATCAATCTATTTAACTTCTTTGATACAATAGTAGAAAACAAGCAGGATAATAAACGAAGGGGGTAAGGGATTTCTGCAAGACCAATTCCAGAGCACAGTTGTTTTTACAACAACTCTTATCACTTCCTCGAACAGACTCTTTGTCCATGGATGTGCTAGTACAATTAGCAAGTTGTCCTTGTAACTTTTTACATAGAGATACAGGGAGGATAGTTTTAATTAGCTTGTCCTTGGTGCTCGAGCGTCTATATTCCTTTCTGTTGGCTTGATTTGGTTCGGGGCCTACAAGGGGATATATCTATACCTATGAAATTACAAAACCATATATATAAAACTATCAATATCTCAACATAACCTCCTGTTCTGCCTGTAAGGTGGAGCTATCCTCACTAGACTTGCCTGCCTTATCTCCAGACATATTCAGTCCTAGGCTGCAATCTTGCAAATGTGTATGAGTAGTCTTATTTAAATCAGTGGGGACTTTTCAAATTGCATAAAGTTAAGCATGTGAAGAGTTTGCTGGATCTGTGGCCCTGGTCTTCAGCACATAGGCTTATAAACGTAGCTCAAACACTCCACTCTTCTTCAGGTCTGGGTAAGGAAGCACTGTGTAGCTCAAAAGCTTCCACCAACAGAAGTTGGTCCAATAAAAGATATTACCTCACCTACCCTGTCTCCCTTACAAACAAGGGCGAGTTTGCCATCTGGGCTCTTGATATCCACAAGAAAGTGACCTGTGATACTCATTCTGTAGCAACTTTCAGATTGTAATTACCGTATATACTTGTTCATTAGCCCATTCGTTTATAAGCCGACCCCCCAAAATGGATAGGTAAAAATAGCAAAAACCGTATGACCCTTTCATAAGCCGACCCTATATTTCAGGGGTTGGAAAACTTTGGCTTCTGGCCCGCCAGGGTAAGCCACTGGCGGGTTGGGACGTTTGTTTACTTGGAGCGTCAGCAGGCATGAAGCCCCTCAGCTCCCTGTGGCTGCGGTTCGCCATTCCCAGCCAATGGGAGCTGCGGGAAGTGATGTCTGTAAAGGGTTAAGAAGCTCATATAACCTAGTGACACCTGACCAGAAGGACCAATAAGGGGACAAGATGCTTTCACATCTGGGAGGGGGGAAAGTCTTTGTTGTTGTTGTGTGTGTGCGCGCGCGCTTTTGCAGAAGAAGATCCAGGAGGCAGCCATCTAACTCCCTTGAATTAGTAAGTAATAACAGAAGAAATGTGTTAGGTTACTTTTATTTTTGTTTGCGATTTCCTTTGCAAGAAGAGGGAGGCTATTCCTGAGTTGTAACTTTAAAGTTTGCCTAGAGGAGAGATCTTCTATGTTCTAAATTTTCACCTTTTTTTTTTAATTAAAATTCTTCTTTTAAGAACCTGATTGATTTTTCATTGTTTTAAGATTCAAGGGTTTGGGTCTGTGTTCACCAGGACTAATTGGTGAGGATATATTCTCAAGCCTTCCCAGGAAGAGGGGTGTAGGGGCTTGGGGGATTATTTGGGGAAGGTAGAGCGCCAAGTGGTTCTCCCTAAATGTTTGTTTAAATCACTTGGTGGTGGTAGCGTTACTTAATCTAAGACATAAGAGGGAAATTGTGCCTTGGGGAGTTTTTAACCTAAGCTGGGGGGAAAAAAAAGCTTAGGGAGTCTTCATGCGGGTCCCCACGTCTGTACCCTAGAGTTCAGAGTGGGGAAGGAACCCTGACACAAAGTAAATTAGAGATTTCAGTACACCTAGTCCATAAATAACACTCATTGGGTTAGATTAAATCATGTCCTCAAATACGCTCATGAAAATTCACTGACTTCAGTGGGGTTGTGTAAGTGGATGTGAATGCAGAATTTGGCCCAGTGAGCAGAGATGTCCTTTGGCCCACAAAGCTTTGAACTGTATAGACTTTGACCCTTGAATTTATATGGTTTTACTTAATTATTTCTGTTAAATTTTATCTTGTATCTTTTCACCTATAGGTGTTAGGACAACTATGCCATGCTATAACAATGCATTCTTGCCGAAGTAACAATTGCTTCCAAACTTGACTATTCTCCGAATAGTGCAGCAGAAGTTTTTCAAAAATAAATAAGACAGGGAAACTTTGGACATGAGTTTACTGTCTCTTTCTGCCGTAACAGGGCAAGTGAAGTAAAGCCCTGCTGGACTGTTGTTTAAAACATGGGGGGGAGGGGGAAAATGTTACTCAGGGAAACACTTTGGTTTTGTTTCCTTTTGTAGGGCATGGAAGAGCAAGAGCTGCCTTATGTGCTGATAAACACTACAGGAGGGACATACGGAGTATATGAGGATCATGTCGAGTTTTTGAAGAAACATTTTAACCTTATCACCATGAAGGAATTTCTTGAAAACAAAAATCGTCTTAGTGAAAAGATCAAAGCTATTTATATGTGGTGGCACAAACCAGCTGCTAACCAGGAGCTTCTCCATAGTCTGCCTAACTTAAAGGTGATTGCAACCTCTGGGGCAGGAGTGGATCATTTGGACTTGAAACTGATCTCCAGCTTTGGAGTGAAAGTCGCCAACACTCCCTTTGCTGTTTGCAATGTCACTGCAGATCTGGGGATGGCTTTAATGTTGGCATCTGCCAGGAGACTAGTGGAAGGTAACCATTTAATTTTTTTCAGGATCAGCATTTCAAAATATGCTATGTTAAAATGTATGTGGATGCATAGTTAAAAATATAAATACACAAAATCAAGGAATGGGAAAAGGTGACAATAAATGTCTCATGGTAACATTAGCTTGCCCACAGGGCACGTATAATTTCCAAACAAAAATGTCAGTAAAATAGATACCTCTAGTTTTAGAGCTTCCCTCCCTTACCCCAGCTCATAACCACCATCCCATACTGCTTGTTCCCTCTGCCCCTGCTTTTCCAGGCCCAACAAGAGAGAGCACTGTGCTCTGCCTTTTTGAGGCTGATGTGAATTAGCCCCATAAAAACCTTTATTCACACTTCTGTGCCTCATCTCTCTGCCTGCAACATATGTGCAGGAAATACAATGGCAGGCAGGTGTCCTGCAGCCTCCTGGGGCTGGAGTAGATCTGGCCCCACTGAAAGTCACCTGGTGATGGTACTGCAACCTGTAGCGCATCAGCTACATTATCCAGAGTCTAGGTGACACAGCTATGGCATTGTTGGTGGGACTTAGCTCCATTAGCTCCTAATGACTAGCCACCCCAGATGGATGGCTCAGATACTGGTTGAAGAGCTGACAATTTCTACTGCTTCCAGAGCCAAAGACAAGAGCAGGTTTGTGATGGAAATAAAACTGAGGTTAAGAGTCTCATCCCACTCTCCCCCAAAGGGAGTTGGGGGGGGGGGGGGAAGGGGAGGGTGAAAGGAGACATTTACTGCTATGAGCAAGAAATCAAATCAAGAGCTCTGGTTGCCAGTGTCAACATTACCCATCATGTGTTTGATTAAAAGGTAAAAGTAAATATTGGTGCTCCATTGTCATGTTGGCTTGTGAGCCAAAGGAAAAAGATGGTGTGACAGTTTATGCCCTTAGGTGCAGGGCAGCATGGCCTAGCAGCCAGAGCCTATTGAGATGGGGGTGGGGCACCCACCAAGAGGTGTGGTGGCCCCGGTAGGGGGGCCTAAGCCCACCCAACTCCACCAGGCCCCAACCCAGGGCCCTAACACTGGCATAGCAACTGGCCACTGACTCAGTGGGGGGAGGGGGGGGGGAGGGTCCTACCAAAACACATTGAGGTTTCCCAGGCGGGAGGTACCACTCCATCACCCTCCCTGGGCCACTTCCTACCAGCGTCTGCGTTGGGACTCCCATGAGACATTGGGTTCGCTGTGGTTAGCTGGGCCGGTCACCTCCAGTGGCTACTCCAGTCACTGGGGTTCAGGCAGGCCCAAGGGGGCTCTGATTCCCAGTGTGGACTGGGGCTCTGCAGGCACTTCCCAGACAGGTCATTCCCTTGCAGCCTTCAGCTCAGAATGAGCTGGGCTTCCTCCCTTTATACTGCTAGAGCATCTGGAGCATGCCCAGTCCCACTGGGGAGGCGGGACTTCCGCTGTCAATAATATGGGCTTAACCCTGGCTGGGCTGGTGTGGGGGTAAACAGACCCTGTCACAGATGGGTATCTGAATGCCTGGCATCATTCCATTCCTCGTGCTATTTTTCTTTTTTTCAGGTTGTCAGATTGCAGTTTCCCCAAACACTGAGCATTTTGCTGATGACTTGCTGGGAGATGAAGTCACCGGGGCTACCCTTGGTATCATTGGAATGGGCAGTATTGGATATATGGTGGCCAAGAGGGCCAAAGCTTTTGAAATGAAAATTCTTTATCACAACAGGAGCCAGAGGTAAAAGTATGTCTGATCCCAGTTAGAAAATCAATTTTGTAACTCCTTGTAAAGATTACTTGTAGCTGTCACTGTCTCAAACGTGTCATATTTGTTTATTCAGCTCATAGATTCATAGATTCATAGATTCTAGGACTGGAAGGGACCTCGAGAGGTCATCGAGTCCAGTCCCCTGCCCTCATGGCAGGACCAAATACTGTCTAGACCATCCCTGATAGACATTTATCTAACCTATTCTTAAATATCTCCAGAGATGGAGATTCTACAACCTCCCTAGGCAATTTATTCCAGTGTTTAACCACCCTGACAGTTAGGAACTTTTTCCTAATGTCCAACCTAAACCTCCCTTGCTGCAGTTTAAGCCCATTACTTCTTGTTCTATCCTTAGAGGCTAAGATGAACAAGTTTTGTCCCACCTCCTTATGACACCCTTTTAGATACCTGAAGACTGCTATCATGTCCCCTCTCAGTCTTCTCTTTTCCAAACTAAATAAACCCAATTCTTTCAGCCTTCCTTCATAGGTCATGTTCTCTAGACCTTTAATCATTCTTGTTGCTCTTCTCTGGACCCTCTCCAATTTCTCCACAGCTTTCTTGAAATGCAGTGCCCAGAACTGGACACAATACTCCAGTTGAGGCCTAACCAGCGCAGAGTAGAGCGGAAGAATGACTTCTCGTGTCTTGCTCACAACACACCTGTTAAAGCATCCCAGAATCATGTTTGCTTTTTTTGCAACAGCATCACACTGTTGACTCATATTTAGCTTGTGGTCCACTATAACCCCTAGATCCCTTTCTGCCATACTCCTTCCTAGACAGTCTCTTCCCATTCTGTATGTATGAAATTGATTGTTCCTTCCTAAGTGAAGTACTTTGCATTTGTCTTTATTAAACTTCATCCTGTTTACCTCAGACCATTTCTCCAATTTGTCCAGATCATTTTGAATTTTGACCCTATCCTCCAAAGCAGTTGCAATCCCTCCCAGTTTGGTATCATCTGCAAACTTAATAAGCGTACTTTCTATGCCAATATCTAAGTCGTTGATGAAGATATTGAACAGAGCCGGTCCCAAAACAGACCCCTGCAGAACCCCACTCATTATACCTTTCCAGCAGGATTGGGAACCATTAATAACTACCCTCTGAGTACGGTTATCCAGCCAGTTATACACCCACCTTATAGTAGCCCCATCTAAGTTATATTTGCCTAGTTTATTGATAAGAATATCACGCGAGACCGTATCAAATGCCTTACTAAAGTCTAGGTATACCACATGCACCGCTTCTCCCTTATCCACAAGACTCGTCATCCTATCAAAGAAAGCTATCAGATTGGTTTGACATGATTTGTTCTTTACAAATCCATGCTGGCTATTCCCTATCACCTTACCACCTTCCAAGTGTCATCTCAATTTCAGAATGAGGCATAGGGACATAATGGTGTGATACCTGCAGCTTTATTCTTAAGTGCCTTTTTTATTATTGCTATTCTATTTTTAAATGATGAAATACATAGAACTGTTGTGAGGTTTGTTTAAAAATGTGCAGGAAGGATTAGAAATTTGCCTGCCATGCCGGTGGTCTTAGACATCAGTAGTCATCCTCCAACCTTTTGATAGTATGGACCACATCTTAATAGATAGTGGAAATAAAAGATAGTCCAATCAAACAATATTCCTGTAGCAATTATGTAGCAGTGGCCCCAAACAGAAGTAGCTAGTCTGGCTCCTTCACCTCCTCTTAGAAGCAGCGGACTATAAAGAGAGTTACACCATGTGAACTGCCAGCTCTCTGTGGACCAACACTAGTCCACAGAATAATTTCTCTCCTTGCATCATGTCTGCTGCCATGTTGCAGACACAGAAAGCAAGTTAAAATCATGTGGGTTAGGAGGGAATCCATGTTAGGACCAGAAAGCATGATCATCAACATCATTATTTTTACATTTTAATATTGTGGCATTGGGGCCCCATTGGGCTAGGCCCTATACAAACATATAGTAAATATATCCTAGCTGAGAAACTTTACCAAGAATATTGGACCATAAGACCTCAGACAGACCAACTACTGATGGTCTGAGAACAGCATCACTTGCTATGGATCAAGCACAAATTCTACTGATTGACAAATGCAGGAGCCTTAAGAGATATTTGTAACTGAGTTTAGTTACAGAACATCCCAATAGGAGGAAAAACAGTCCAATAAATATATTTAATATTTGTTCTCATTTATATTTGTTCTCTCTGCTCTTGCTCCCCTGACTCCTTTGGCACTTGAGCCTGCATTATTCTGCTTCATGACACCAGCTTTCTCATTAAGGAGCCCTCCAATAGGTTTCCCTCGGTTCTTCTTTCTGTGCCACTGTTTCCTGTGTTGTATGTCTGAACCTCTTTCCCTCCTGTTATTTAAATGGCAGCTGTCCCTATTTCCAGCTTGATGTAAGAAGGAAAGTAAACAGTCTCCTCCGAAACAGGCAGCAATGCTATTCCCTAAATAGGCTAGCAGTAAGACTCTTGCAGACTTGACATTCCACTCTGCAGTGGATGCCAAACTAATCATCTCTGCATGAAGCAACAGAGGGTCCTGTGGCACCTTTAAGACTAACAGAAGTATTGGAGCATAAGCTTTTGTGGGTAAATGCCCACTTCATCAGTGGTGTACCTGATGCTTCCTCCTGGGAAGCAGATACCCTTGCAAATACAGGGCTCCTGCATAGTCATACACAGAGCTGCAAATGGATGGGGCTGCAGGGAGGGGAGTGAGAAGGTGAAATCCATTTCTGTAATAGAGATTTGAACCTCCAATATTTTCTACTTACAAGAGCAGTTGAACTTTGTTTTCCTTCAGAAAAGAGGAAGAGGAACGGGCTGTTGGTGCCATTTATTGTAAAAAGATAGAAGACTTGCTCCAGCAGTCAGATTTCGTGATGCTGGTCGTGAGCCTGACACCACAGACACATAAACTGTTTGGGAAGAAGGAGTTAGAACTGATGAAACCCACTGCTAC